TGTAACTTTATATAGATAATTTACTAAAGTATCCCAATTAATTAAAATATTTCATACTAATAATAATTTTTAAATCTCTCATAGTTTGGATTTCATGTTCGGGATCGAATTTATAATATAAACATTCATACCGTATTCATATCCAAAATAAAACTTTTGAATTTTATCTAAACTCAGCCAAAACTCTGAAATATAGGTTTCACTGAGTTCGATTTGGGTACATACCTATCGAGTGGGCTTGATTTTGCATTCTGTAGTGGCATTTAAATATGATTATTAAATGATTAAAAAGTGGTGTCTAATGTCATTTTATAATTGGATAGGCAATTTTATCTTTTCCTCGTACTGATAGCTAAATTGATTAAAAAGTGATATTTGATGTCATTTTATAATTATATAAATAATTTTATATTTTCATCGAATAAGTTATATAATTTACTAAATAAACTTTAAAAAGAAGTTTTTATTTAGATAAAATTTGACAAGTAATGCTCTGTTATTTTCGTAAAAAAATTTACAAAAAAATAACTTGTTGAAAAATATTTTTCTAATGAATTATTTTCCATTATTTAGTTGTAGTATTGAAAATTATTTAAAAATATTAAAGTTTTTATCTCATGAGACCATAAAAATATTAATAATAATAGAAATTTTATAATTTAAAAATTTTATTATTAAATACTAGAAGAATGCAAAAAAAAAAATGTAAATTATAAAAGCTGCCAGTGGCCGGTGGTAGTGGTCGGTGGTAAATGGTGATTGGTTATAGTGACTATAGTGATTAATAAATTAAAAAATAAGGATTTATAAGGTTTGTCAATGTCCGGATAAATTAAAAAATAAGGATTTATAAGGTTTGTCAATGTCCGGATAATATTTTACTCTTTCAAAAATGGGAAGTTATTTTTCTTAAAAAATGACTTAATTTCTTTTAACTGGGAAAATATTTTCCGTTGACTTATTTTTCTGAACATCTGAAACGGCGGAAAATTACGAAAAATATTTTCCTCCAAATTATTTTGCGGAACAAAGATAGCCTAAATTCAGATAAACAATTACTATTAGTTTACCTGACGAAATAACCTAGTTGATCATTGTATGACCCAATAAGGTGTAAATAAGAAGAAGAAAAGAAAAGAACAAAAAAAAAAAAAAAAAAAAAAAAAAAAAAAAAAAAAGCTAACCCCTTAGAAATTATAGGGAGTCATTGAAGTAGGCTAGGTTTCACTTGAATTGGAACCTTGTGGAATAATAATAATAATAATAATAATAAAACCCTGGAATGCAAAAATTGAAATTGAATATTTGAAAATCTGAATTTTGTTGGTTTCCAAGTTTCAATTTGACTTGAATGTATAGCCTGGCCCAGGGTTGGCATTGTCTCCATTATATTGTCTACAATTTTTCTTTTACATTATAATTGAGAAGTTATAATAATAGACCTAATTTTTTGGTAAAATAAAAGAGAGCACAGCTGTAAGAAGACAAGCACAATCTAGAGTATGTTACACCTATAAAATCATGTAACAACCAATCATTCAACTCGGAAAAAGTCTGAATTATGAATATCTCCTGCCAAGAAATCCATTTGTTTATTCATTTTGCTGTGTTTTGGGTTCATTTTATGCTTCCATGCGCTAAAATATCCTAAATTTTAGTTCTACATACATTTTTAATCCTTTTTAAACTCATTTTGATCAACATATGAGAGCCTACGTTGATGAGTTCTTAAGTCTTAACACTTACAATTTTTTTTTTCTTCTTTTCGATTCTTTGAATTTCTCTACTGAAAAAACTTGTCGAGACTGGGTTCATGGCCCATTTATGGATAAAACCAATAAAGCTAAAGATTTTCTAAAAAATTTTAAATTTATCATTTTTTTTTTTCAAATGTATGGTCAGAAATAACCTTGTTTCGATAAAAATCTTTAATTTTATTGATTTTGTTCATAAATGGATCATGGATCCGGTCTAGATAAGTTTTTCTCATTTCTCATTATAACTAAGTTATCAAAAAAAACAAAAAAAAAAAAAAGGTAAAAAACAAAAAACAAAAAAAAAGGTCCAATATCTACAAATATCAATATCAAATAGGGATAGATAACCACTGTAAATGGAAAGATACATTTTTAAAAACAAAATAAAAAAACAAAAAAAAAAAAAAGGTCCAAGATCTACAAATATCAATATCAAATAGGGATAGATAACCCTGTAAATGGAAGATACATTTAAAACAAAATCACGCCTGCCATAGAGATGTTGCTTTGCTTCCAATACAATACACAATACAAAAAACAGGTTACGTCTCTCTCTATTCCTTCAGAGTTAGTCATTTCCGATTGTAGTATGAGATATAAAACTGCATGGAGGGATTGAGTAACAGGGAGATACGTAGCGATAGGTGCAAGGTACCCGTCAAAAAACAAGCAAGTCCCACCACCTTTTTCAACTTACTACAAACAAGTCCCACCACCTTTTTCAACTTAATAACAAGTGTTCATAGTTAATATAGTTTTATTATTAGGTCTAGATCTAGTTGAAGCTTTAAACTTAATTAATTAAAATTGCTTGTGATTGAGATCATCATGAATTATTTTTAATTATAATAATAACTAATGCCGTCCCATTATTTAAAAATGGTCATCAAAAAGTTAGTATGAATGGAAATGATTCGTATACCTTAAATAAGATGTTAAGTGTTCAACTTCATAAAAAAAACCTTTGCGGCGTTTGAACATTAAAAATAATCCTGTAGTACCTTAAATTTTATTTTAACTTTATAATTTTCTGAGTTTTTCTTTTTGTACTTGTAGCTCCTCGAAGATGATTCAAGGATTCACATGCTTACTAAGCCAGCTATTTAGTTGAGTAGTTGGAAATTATCTGAAGCTTCTGTACTCCTAATAGCTAGCTCAACCCTTTTTTCTTTTGTTGTTTTCGAAAACTTAACAGCTAGCTTAACCCATTTGGTAATAATTAATTTTAATAAAGTAAGTAGTTGTGAAGTGCTCTAACAGCAGCAGAAGCAGATTCCAAAAAATTTATTTTGGAGTTTTTCCTATTAATTATGAATTGATTTGTATTTTAATTATATAATTATTAGTATTATTGTGGTTTTGACCAGTCCTAATATTGGATTTGGCAAGGCAGCTATTGAAAGCACCTTTACACCAATATAATTTGGCCATTACTCATATTACTTTTGGATTAAGAAAAATGAAAATAACACATGGGCTATTTTTATACAAACCTATAATTAATAGTTTTAATATATAATTATAGATATGTTTATCTATATGCATGGTTATTTTGGGATGCTAATCAGAGAAATGGATAATATCTTTTCTAGATAAGGTTAAAAAGGAGAATATATATTCTTTGCCTTTACAATGAACTTTTCTTCTGTCATTTGAGTTCATGTTTTGGCAATTAGTAGAAAAGCAAATTTGATATTAATGAAGATGTTTAGTCAGATGGGACAGTAATCCTAACCCACACATTATTCATATTCTCAACCAAACCATGTTGTTTTCATATACCTAATCTAGCTACTAACATCTTCTAAAACAATGATAGTGTTATTTTGGAAATCAATAATATATTTTCTATATTCGTTGTGTTATTTTTTTAAATGTAATTTGTTATTAATAATAATATGAGAATTACAAATAATCATATAGACCAGACATAAAACTTTATTGTTAGTCGCTAATAAAGTTCACTGATTTTTTAAGGAAGCAAATTAATTCATATCATTTTGAATAATGAGAATAAAACTAAAAAAAAAAAAATATAATATTAAATATTTCTACTTGGAATTGATATTGACAAAAGATATAAATTTTCATAGCAGCTACTAGTCCGTTAATTGATTTAGACATCAAAATAATAACTTCTCTAGTTCTTCTATAACTGAATTTTTTTTCCAATAATTTGTAACATATAACGAACACATATGAGTTTCTGCAATTACGTGTCAATAGCATCAATGGAGAAACATGTCATACTATCAGGCTTCGATGAAAGATCCGTATATGCAAATCAAGATCTAAAGTCTTCGACCCAAAAAAAAAGTATACTATTATAGTTTTATTTAGTAATAAACTCTCACAAAGAAGAAAAAAAAAACTCCAAATATGAAGACAAATCAACAATAACAAAAACATAAAAGTTAGATTTGTTCGACTAAAAAAATAAATTTGAATTTATTAAAGCAAAAGAAGGTGAAGCGAAAGAGAGAATAAAAAGTAAGAGGCAGGGGTTACCGCTTAAGATCAAAAGATTCGAGAAAAAAAAGATAAAAATATATTTATCGAATTATTAATCAGTTTATTGCATAGGGTAAGAAAAACCCATCATAGGGTTGAAGTTTCTCAGGACAAAATAATCTCATTTGAACAGTATTTTGTAAGTGTTGTGTTGGTGAAAAGTAGAACTTAATATTGAAATCACATATAATTAAATAAATATATATACCAAAAAGTGAAATCAATGAACTTAACATGGATTAAAATATCAACTCTAGTTACATTTGAGAAAGGAATTGATAAACTCAATTTTTTCCTTGAATATATATTATTGTTAATCTACTGTTAAAAATGAGACTATTTAAGAGTAAATAAATATATATTTTTTTATCAGAAAAAATAATTAATATCATTAAAGTAATGAATATGGAAATATTAGCTAATCCAATTCAAATCGCAGTCAACAAGCCCCCATTTACACCCACACCTAAATTAGATAGCCAAGAAAAGTTCTGATTTATAAAAATCTAATAAAATCTGGCAGCAAAACCAAATATTAGTTGTTTTTTTCTTTCAATCAGGTCATTTTAGCAATTTTTAAAGGGAAAAAAAAGCATATAATAAAAGAAATTAAAAAGGAAGAATAAAAAGTTGGTGAGAAAAAGGATAAATAAATAAAAATGAATTTTGTAGTGAAAGGAAAATTGAAATGAAAGTTAACTTTGTCTATATTGGAGTACTTGTTCCTTACTATGCTATCAACCTTCTTCTCCATACTTTTATATTGCTAAAGCTCTCCCAACAAACTCATGTAAGTTTGCTAAACAATCACTTCATTCTCTTTGAAAAGTTCTGATTCATGTATACATTTCTTTGCTCTATCTCTCTAAATTAATTTTGCTTCCGTTTCATTATTTTCTTGTACATTAAATTACCTCTCATTTGTACTTTCTTGCAGGGATTTCAGGTGGTGAACTAGTTTCTATTTTGCCAAATAGCTAGTTAACTGGAATGAGAGGAGCAATGGTTAACTCACCAGCTACAGTAGAGGCTAGGCATCGTTTATCTTCATCAATGTGAGTTCTTGCTTGATGCTCTTCTTTCCTTCATCAATTTGTCTCTGAAACTTGTTTCCGACGTACATTTTGCGTAGAATGGAGCTTTTAAATGGACTTTAGTAGGAACTTTCTACTACTACAAGATCAGTTTGGCTCGCTCATCCAAAATGAATCGATTTTTCGAGCACTTCTTCTTGTAAAAATTGAGTCCAAATGGTATTCTCGTTCAGAGAGTTTCCATTAAAATTGATTCAAAATATTAATTGTGAATAAATTTTATATTGCCCGAAAGAAAATAAAAGGAGTGAACTATTATGAATTGTTGTAACATATTAATTATTAAGTATAATTTAAAAATAAGGAAATAGTTAATATAATTGCAAATAAACAACAATTTCCATGCTTGCAATGTGGTCTTTCTTGAACAGCGAAGACATATATAAAAGAAGGTTGCAGAAGAGTAAAGTGAAAGGAAGCGAAAAGGGGTTCCATGTCCCCATTCAAGACAGGAGTTCTTGCTGCAAGTCTCCTCTCCTCAAACTTGCACTGATCATTGTTATTTGTTTTACTATAATTGCACTCATGCACCCTCCAGAAGTTGACCATCTATCTCACTCTGGTACAAGGTACATTTCCCTTTCTTCCTTTTTTTTTTTTTTTTTTTTTTTTTTTGTTCCCCATTCAAGACAGGAGTTCTTGCTGGGGCGAGCAAGTCTTCCTCTCCTCAAACTTGCACTGATTCATTGTTATTTGTTTTACTATAATTGCACTCATTGCACCCTCCAGAAGTTGACCCATCTATCTCACTCTGGTAACAAGGGTACATTTCCCTTCTTCCTTTTTTTTTTTTTTTTTATTTTTTTTATTTTTTTTTTTTTTTTTTTTTATTTTTTTTATTTTTTCATTAAAATTTGAACTTATAATATTTTAGCTTTATCATATCACTCATTTAGCCTTAGAGTTTGTTTGTTATAAATGAAAATTTGTTTGTTACAACATATTTATTCCACAACGTAGAATTCACTTATACCAAAAAGATAAGTACAATCTTTAAGAATGCAAGTGAGTCCAATTATTTTAAGCTATTTAGATTTGATATGTAAAATATTTAAATTTGACTTGGTCCTACCATGTCAAATTGGAAGTCTGATTAATAATTAAAATTTATACAGTTTTGGAATATATTTGTATATAATAATTTTTTTATTTATTACAAGATCCAATGGGCAGAAATAACAATTTAACTTTTAATTAATAGTTAAAATCAATTTAATTTAATCTGAAAAAATAAATAATTTACTTTTTCAAACTTGAGAAACTATATAAATAGCACAGAATGACAAGTAGGTCAAATGTAAGGGGATTATAATATTAATTTATCCTTTCTAACGAAAGTGCATTTGCTAAGAGATCAAAGAGGGTGAAAAACTAATCAAATCTTGTCCAATTGATTCTTTTTTTTCATATTTTTAAGAAAGTCTGGCGGCATTAGGGCCTTGAACCTCCCAAAAACGTTTAAAATTAAATTTTAGCCTATATGGTTAGGTTAATTTCACTGAAGAAACTAATATTGTTCCCCAAATTTTACTAATATTTCATTTCTAACCCCACATTTCAATTTTATTCATATTTTTACCCTAAAAGTTTTTAAATTAAAAATTATCATTTCTAAAATTAAATTTTTTCTAAATTCAGAGATGATATGCAAATAAATTAAGGCAGACCCTCGAAACTTTTGTTATATTTTAGTCACAATTAGACAATTGAAAAAAGTTTTAAGAATATTCTTCTTCCACACCTTAATGAAGAAAGACTACATTTGATAAGCCTTAATTACATTGAAAAAGTACATATAATTGCATTACAGTTTATTACTGTTTATTTTAAGTAATTCCAAAACATAGAAATAATACTATGATCCTCTCATGCGTGAAACTTTATATATATATTTTATATATTATAATTATATATATATATATATATATATAATATATATATATATATAACCAGGAGGTTTAATTTCCCTCGAGCCATAGCGGTGTAATGATTTTTTAACTATAGATGTATGCAGAATTTTTTAGCCACAGGTGTTTTCGCATTTCGGAAACGTTTCCATGATTCGTTTCTGTGTATTTAAATATATAACCAGGAGGTTTAATTTCCCTCGAGCCATAGGGTGTAAAGATTTTTAACTATGATGTATGAAAATTTTTAGCCACAGGTGTTTTCGCATTTCGGAAACGTTTCCATGTATTCGTTTCTGTGTATAAAATATTATTTTTCTTTGAAAAATTATATTTTAAATGTCATTTTCGTTTCTGTTCCGTGCAACATATATGTATTTATGTGAACAGATGGATATGGGGAGGATCGGATCCACGATACTTATCGGATATAGATGTTAACTGGGATGATGTGATGAAAGTTATAGAGAAGTTTGGTGAACAGAATGACTATCAAGGATTTGGCTTTTTGAACTTCAACAAAAGTGAAATTAATTATTGGAAACACCTAATACCAGATGTCTCACACCTGGTTCTCCAACTAGATTATGCTGATAGAAACATAACATGGGAATCTTTATACCCAGAATGGATTGACGAAGAACAAGAAACAGAAGTTCCTGTTTGTCCAGTTCTTCCAAAAGTTGATGTTCCAAGAAAAAGACTTGACCTTATTGCTGTTAAGCTTCCTTGTCGGAATGAATGCAATTGGTCAAGAGATGTTGCTCGCTTGCATTTGCAGGTTGCAGCAGCAAATCTTGCTGCTGCAGCTAAAGGGTTTTATCCTGTTCATTTGCTTTTTATTACTAGTCGTTTTCCTATACCAAATCTTTTTCCTTGCAAGGAACTTGTGGCTCGACAAGGAAACGTGTGGTTGTATAAGCCTGATTTGAATGTTCTGAGAGAGAAACTTCAACTTCCTATTGGCTCTTGTGAACTTGCTCTTCCTCACAGGGATAAAGGTCAGTTCCTTTTTTTTATTCGTCTTTTTTTCTTTTGAGGGTGTTAATGGAATTAAAAATAACAGAATTATCTCTTGTACAACAGAACCATTTTATTCAGGAAATCCACGGCGAGAAGCATATGCAACAATTCTCCATTCTGCTCATGTTTATGTCTGTGGAGCCATTGCAGCAGCTCAAAGCATTCGCTTGTCAGGCTCAACAAGAGACCTCGTAATTCTAGTTGATGAATCGATCAGTTTATATCACAAAAGTGGACTTGAGGCTGCAGGATGGAAGATCAGGACAATACAAAGAATAAGAAATCCAAAAGCCGAAAAAGATGCATACAATGAATGGAATTATAGCAAGTTTCGGCTATGGCAGTTAACGGATTATGACAAAATCATTTTCATCGATGCAGATTTGCTTATATTAAGAAATATTGATTTCTTATTTGGAATGCCAGAAATTTCTGCAACAGGAAACAATGCTACTCTTTTTAACTCCGGAGTTATGGTAATTGAGCCTTCAAATTGCACATTTAAGCTACTAATGGAACATATAAATGAGATAGAATCCTACAATGGTGGAGATCAAGGTTATTTGAATGAAATATTTACATGGTGGCATAGGATTCCAAAGCACATGAATTTCTTGAAACATTTCTGGGTTGGTGATGAAGAACAAGTTAAAAACAAGAAAATTCGGCTTTTCGGTTCTGATCCTCCAGTACTTTATGTTCTTCATTATCTTGGAGTAAAGCCATGGCTTTGTTTCAGGGATTATGACTGTAATTGGAATGTAGATTTCTTTCAAGAGTTTGCAAGTGATATTGCTCATGAAAGGTGGTGGAAAGTGCATGACGCAATGCCTCAACAGTTGCATCAGTTTTGTTTACTGAAATCAAAGCAAAAAGCTCAGTTAGAGTATGACAGGAGACAAGCTCAGAAAGGAAATTACTCGGATGGACATTGGAAGATACAAATCAAAGATTCAAGATTAAAGAAATGTGTTGATAATCTTTGTTCTTGGAAGAGTATGTTACGACATTGGGGTGAAACCAATTGGACTGATGATGACTTTTTCAATCCAACACCTCCTGCTATTTCTACAGCTTCTTTAACTGGGTTATGACCTCCTTTTATTTTAATGTAAATTATACAGAAAATACTTTTTTTTTTTCTTTTATTTTCTGTCTTCATTTTGAGGCATAAGAGTTTTTTAGACTCATTCTGTTCTGGAGGAACAGAGATCTTTGAGGCTGCGTTTTTTTATAGTGTACCTTTGTTTTTTGCAAGTTCTTATTAGAGTTATTATATATTGTACAATTTTCTCAATGCTATAAATTTTCTCCTACTTACTTACAGTCACATATCCAGTTTTGACCAATTGGGGGTGTAATTACTAGGCTTTTGTCAAATACATTAACAGGGAAATAGATTTCAAAATTACGTTATTTAATCTGTCCATCACAATTTCGTTATGGCAGTAATATTAATTTGATAAACTGTTTATTTTTTCATTAAGTGACTGTGGAATGTCCGTGCCTTAAAAATAATTACTATATAATGCTTACGGTTTAATGAAATATACTAGTAGAAACTTCAATTTTCACAATTTTGCACTTTTTAGTCCCTATATAGAAATTAAGGGTGTCTTTGATATTTTGCAATCACTTAACAGAAAAATTAAATTTTGAAGCTTAGAGTATAATAAAATTATGATACAGAGACTAAATAGAGTGGTTTTGAAAATTATATCTTTATTTATGTATTTAATAAAAATATAAAGATCATATAGTAATTATCCCTCTCACAAGATATAGCATTTTCACTGTACAATTCCATTTCCCTTTCTGTTTCTCTTATTATTGATCTTCGGAAGGAGAAAGAGAGAGACTTCTAATACAAAGTGAGCCCAAAACCATAACGTTCAATTTTGGTTAATTTACTAAAATGTAAAATGGCGGCTCCCTGAGGTCCACATACCAAAGCCCAATAGTGTGAAGGACTGTAGGGGCTGAAACGGGAGGATATATATATTTACTAGCATCATCCAACCTGTATTACAGCTCATTCATACTCGTTGATTTTTACGGGTTATAATTAAATATTATTTTTAATCAATTTTTATATAAATTATAATATTATGAATGGTTTATATTACTAAAAATCTAAAAATATTCATAAAATAGAAAACAACATGTTATGAAATTATAAAATAAAAAATTCAATAATTAAAAAACTTGTCAAGGAAATAACATAAATAAAACATTTTCATAATTTGACAGTTAAATTTTCATAAAAATAAAATTACTTATCAATCAATTTACACTTTTTTATAATAACTTAAATTTAGTTAATTTAAGTTTTTTTATATAATATAATATCATACACTAACTATATTACTAAAATATGATAAAATAGTATTACCTATTGTAATAATTAATATACTAATCATTATTTTAGAACATCATTTGTTATTTTAATTTTTTTATTTTACTTTTTGCCAAAATCTATAAGCATTTAATTAGTTTTATAGTTTATTTTAGAAAAAAATTCTTTTAATGTAATATATAATTTGCTAACATAACGTGTTATATCATAATTTTATGTTATATAAATATTTCTAGTGAGTTTTATTTTCTATTTCATATCAAACAATATATCTTTTAATATATTCTTTAATAATTCATAATAAATTTCATTTATTTTTGTAGAATAGGTTACTTGTAGGAAATAAATATAACCAATCAAATTAAAAATTTATTAAAAATAATACTTAAACATATCATATTCTTATGACATTTAATATGTACCTATAATTTATACTGTATATAAATGTGGGAATAGGGAGCAAATAATGAAATTTTTGATATTGTCCTTAATAAAATTTGGAATATCTAAAATAGTTTTAGTCGTAGCCAAATTAGAAAATTACATTTTATTGGTTGATTGGATATAATTTATAAAAAGTATTTTTAAATAAATAGATATGGATATTTTAAAATTTTAAGTTTTATATTTTTAAATTTTTTTAATAAATATATATGATGCTGATTTGAAAATTTTTTATATTTTATTCTTTAAATATTTTGATTATAATTTTTTTAGGAGGGAGATAAAAAGAGAAAAAGTATATTTTTTTCTTTATATTTGTGTAATTTGATTGGATATACTTTTTAAAAAATAAAATTTCAAATAAAATATACATAATATTTTTTTCTTAAATAAATAGATATGGATTATTTTAAAGAATTTTAAGGTTTGGTACTATTTTTAAATTTTTTTAATAATATATTATGATGCTGATTTGAAAATGTTTTATATTTTATTCTTTAAATCATTCTTGATTATAAGTTTTTTTAGGAGGGAGAGTAAAAGAGAAGAAAGTATAGTTTTTTCTTTATACTTTGTGAATTTGATTGGATATCACTTTGATTGGATATACTTTTTAAAAAATAAAATTTCAAATAAAATATACATAATATTTTATTTAGGAGAGAAATAAAAAAGAAAAAAACTGTATTTCTTTTTTGTATAGTTGTAGGAAAAATTGAGAGTTTATTTGCAGAGGATAAAACGTTTCTTTTAAGTAATCGTTTTTTTTATTTATCAACATATAGATCATTAAGAATTTAAAATTTTTAATTTTTATCTTTTTTAAATTTATTTTTTATAAATATATAGATAATTGGGCATTTCAAAATTTTCGTATTTTTTTTAAATATTTAATTTTATTTTGATTATAATTTAAAATATGGTACTTAGGAGAGAGATAAAAAAAGGAAAATTAATATTTTTTAATATTTATTTTCTTTATATTTGTATGGTTTGATTGGATTTGATTGGATATATTTTTTGAAAATAAATTTTTAAATACAATATATATAATATTTTATTTAGAAGAGAGAAAAAAAAAATTTTTTTTTGTATGGTTGTAGAAAAAATTGAAAGTTTATTTGAAAATGATAAAACGTTTCTTTTATCTAATTTATTTTCATTAATTAATTAACTTAATTATTTATTTTAAATTTGGAGCTTAGAACGGTAGGTAAACAAAATACTTAATTAAACTCGTTAACCGATCAATATTAAATCCTAGCATGATTTGCTTTGTAATATTATTTATTGACTTGACTTTAGTCTTTTTTTTTTTTTTTTTAAAACTTTAAATTTCATTAAATTATGGCATTCCAATGGAAGAAGTGGTTAATTTTGAAATTCAAATAGGAAATTTTTTAATATAATTTATTTCTTATTATACGTTAAATTTTTATTTTTTATATTTTTTCCTTTTTTTCGTTATTGAATTAATTTTTAACTACTATCACTTCAATTTAATAACAAATTTATATTTCCTTGCTTGATGATTAAGTATTTTAATTTTCTTAATATTTTTTCTCTTATAGTTTAAATCTGTTTGATTTGAAAGAAAATAATATTTATGAAACTGGAAAGAAATTAGAACTATATATTTTGTTTTGGGTCACTTTTTATAGTTTCAAGAATTTATGTGTATGTGTATATATTCCTTTCTCTTATACGCTGGGCAGATAATATTGCTGCTATAGCCAAAGTGATTACCATTGTCAATTCAGATCATCTTTTTTTTTTTTTTTTTTTTTTTTGGAAGTAAAAAATAATTTAATATTATTTTCATATATTGTATATAGGATTTTTTTTTTTTTTTTTTTTACTTAGAAGTAAAAAATAATTTAATATTATTTTTCATTATATTTGTATATAGATATTAAAGTTGAGCATAGGGGTTGAAGATTGAATGATGGTTTGATTTTCTTTTTGGGCACCTATTAGGGTTTTTTAAGAATTTGTATTTATAACTTATGGACTGAAGGATTAGGTTTTAGGGTGATGTTAAAGTTTATTTTGAAACTATTTTCATTATATAATAATAAAAAAGTACATAAGAAGTAGTATTACGAGTAGCTTGTATGATAAAGTCTAATACAAATTAACCAATTGTGTTTATTTTAATCTAAACAAAACTTATGGTTTGATATTATACAGATAAAAAAATTAAAATAGTGTAAAAAATAGTAGATACCGAGTGTAAAAAAATCTAAAATGCCTCTGCTAAGTTTATGGATAAATAAAAATATCATTGAAGATTTTAATTTTATTGGTTGAAAAATAAAGACAGTAGAATTTTAATTCGTTATGTTAATTTTCTATTTGAATCTAAATTCTATTGTGAAGTTTAATCTAATTCTAAATAGAAAGAACATTGGGATTACGAAAAATATTATTAAAATTTTTAATTTTATTGATTGAAAAATAAAGTTAGTTGAATTTCAATTGTCATATTAATTTTCTATTTAAATCTAAATCTATCAGATAAAATAATATTATATACGATATAAAATATATATTAGATAAGGTAAAAATATAATATATCCTTACCATATTTAATAAATACCTTATTTACTAACCATCAAATAATATATATATATATAATATTATTTAATATATACATTTTCTAATATTATATTATGTAATTTTGGTTTCAAAATCGTGAGTTCCAGTTATAAGAAAGATAGAACCGAATAGTATTGCCATATTTAATATACACCTCATATAGTATATAATTAATTTTTTATTTTTATCCAATAGAATTTAGCTTTAAATAGAAAATTAATATGACCGATCAAAATTAAATTATATTATATTTTAATTAATAAAATTAAAATTCAGTATGGGCATTGTTAGCAATCATAATGTTCCGATATCCATTTCCAGTTATATATATAGTTTTGAGAAATCTATATATATTTTTTTGACCTAATGCATAAATTCATCCTTATACTTTACGCAAAAAATCTTATGGTAACCTTAAGTTTTACTTTAACCTATTAAACACTTCAATTTATAAAATTATAACAATTAAATACTTCAACTTGTAAAAATTTTTTTATTGAATACTCAAACTTCTAAAATTTAGTCAATTAAACACTTATTAAATAATTGAAACATGTGAAAGTTGTTGTTCCAAATATTATACTGAGCACACGTTAAGTGAATAACTTGCATATGAATGCTAAAAACACCAAAAAATATTACTGTTAGTATAAAGAGGGATACAATATTAGTAGAATTCGTAACTTCAAAGATATAATAGGTCACTTACAAAATTTAGGATGCCACGAGATTTTTTCTGCAAAATAGAGGAGTATATTTATGCATTTGGTCTTATTTTTTTTTTTTTTTGTTTGTTGTGAAATAACAAAGATGAAATTAAAGTGCAAGTAAAACATACTTACCCTTAATTTGTGTGACAAAAGCAAGGGAGTGAATAATTATGGACTTTTACCCTATATGAAAATCTGTGGAAAGTAAAAATTGCACAATAA